AGTAGAGGGTAACTGGGGGATGGAGGCATATTGATCAATACCTACTAAAATATAATTGCATAGGAACAGAAGCTCTGGCCTGCTATTGCGCAGTAGCATGGCTGTGAATAACAACCATGTTATTTCATGATGGAATATTATTCCACCTTCAAGAAGACTGAAAGCATGCCATTTGCAGGAGAGTGGATGGAACTCAATACCATCATACAATGCAAAATAAACCACACTCAGAAAGTGTACTCTTAAAGAGACTACAGTTGCAGCTGTTCAATTTAGAGGTCTGGATTCACAAACAACAAAACCCTCTAACACCAAAGTAAAGGCAATGAAACAAAGTTTATGAACTGTTGGTTAATACACTTGATTACACAGAAGAAAATAAAAGTACAACAAAGTTACATCATCAGGTCCAGTGAAGCACTAACTCCTGAAAATCCAGCTGCCAAGGTCCTGACTTGGGAAATGTTTGGGCAGAGCACCCTCTCCACAGATGAAACCTCTAATCTCCCTGCCAGTAAGGGCCCTGCTTTTGACAAAAGCAGCAGTGTCCCAACCGTGTGCCTGACCAGGGGTAGAGGGTTTCCAGCCCTCAGGAACGGGCCAAGCACCTGAAGGCTCCAAACATCTGTACTGTCTAGATACGTGTTTCAGAGACAGAATGTCCCTGAGAGCATAGAGCCAGACCTACACGGAGTCCTACTTGGGTCAAATGCTCTACCAGGCATCTGGACAATTAATCTTCAGAACAAAACTACAGCACTGTTATAAACTGGGAAGATCTTTCTACATTCAACTTTAAACCTTCAGGAAGTTAAATATCACATGTTTTCTCTTCTATGAAAAACCTAAAAGGTAAATAAATTAGCAAATAAAATAAATGACAGATGATAGAAAACTAGAAGACAGACCTTCAAAGACAGGAAAGAGGATTACAGGAGTGGGAAGAAGTAGGAAAGGGAGGTAAAAAGAATGAAAGAGATCAAGATACACATACACATGTACCAGTTCCCCAATGTGAGTGTCAGTATTCTGTACTACAAGGACGGACTAATTCTCAAAAACCCAGAAAAAAGGATTTTGAATGTTTTCACCATAAACAATGGGAAATGTTTTGCAGATGTGTCTTTAACCTGATTTAACCATCGCAAAATGAGTATACATACTGACATATCACATTGTACTTCTTTACTATGTATAATTTTATGTTTTTATATATCAGTTAAACTAAATTTAGTTTAAATAAGAAAATAAAAAGAGGCCCTAGCCTTGGGATTCTTTGTAAATTATAACACTTCTCTCAGTAGATTTTGGTGGTAAGGGATCCACCCTGTCTCATTCATATTGTTACCCTCTCCTGTGTCTTCCATTAAGCCAAATACACAGTAGTTCAATAAATATTTGCCACACTGAATTTCCATGATTTCAAATGGTATTTAGACAGTTATATCATGATAGTTTAATAAAGTTAAAATCAAATTCTAAATTAACATATTTTAAATGTGCTAATTTAATGAATTCTCATTCAGCTTTATTCTCATTCATTTCAAAGTCCCCCTCCCATCCCAGCACCCTCCATTCAGATCCTATGGGCTACAGCTGGAGGGAAAAAGAAACAAGTTTTAGAAGAATAAGTCAATCTTCTTCTGAACAGCCCTCTAGCTTTTTATAATCATCTCCTTAAAAGGGAAGTTTTTTAAACTATTTATAATTATTATGTGGTGGAACATAGAGCTAGAAGAACAAAATCAGGTTTTATGATTATAAGCCCTACGACAATAAAAAAAGGGTAAAGTAACAAGGCTATCCTGGCTATGGACATCCAGTTTACCAAAATATTTGCATTCCAGATGGTAATAAATTATGTCTCTTACCAAGAAAAAAGCGTTAAACCAATAAAAAACTGGGCATTGAGCTTATAATCGATGACCTTAGGAATGTCTGAACTTATGCAAAATAACCCCCAGTATTTCAGTAATGAACTTGAACTGGGAGGACGTGGACATATGGGAAAGACAGACTCTAAGGACAGGAGACTGGGAAGGATACCTCTGATGAAGCCTTAGACTGTGATGGGACCACAGGGTTCTCATATTATTTGTTCAGGTAATTAATGAGGCCCAATTTTTTGCCTTTGGGGACAGATACCTAAAGATGGGAGCCCAGGAGTAGTCAAAGCCATGGTCTACCACAGTTCTCATTCATTCTGTGGAGCATTTAAATTATTGAATACCCAGATTATTGACTACCCTCACCTGGTACCAAAGGGGAAAACTGGCACAGTAGAAAAAGTAGGAGCTGTTCTATTGTTGTAGGCAGAATTTACAAGGGAAACAGTTTAATACAGGATACATAATTTATCGGATTTATAGTAGTCACCCAAAGAGTCAAGTATGAAAGAGTGCAGGAAATTATCCACACACTAAAGAACAAAAGAATCCCCCTGAGGTACTGGATCCCACAGCAATGTTCTGCATGAGTCCAGCTGAAGACCTAGAGCACATGACAATGCCCCCCACAAGTCCAACTAGAGGCATAGAGCCCAAGACAATGTCTCATGCAAGTCTGTTCAAAGGATCTGTGCTGGGAAGGCCCAAAGGTCAATGCTGGAAGCTAGAAAGTCAGTGCCAGCAGGATGAAGTATCTGCACTACAGCCAGGAAGTGATGCTCAAAGTAAGGACCAGAGCTCCCCCGAAAATTACCACAGCCATCTTCAGTGACAGGGAGGTCCCAAGCCCCTCTGATTATGATAACAGACAATTTCATATCAAGAAAGCCAGCCTGACAAGATTCTCCAGGACAACCAACAGCTCCTAACAGCTCCACTTCTTCCTCTCCAGTTGTCCTTTTATGTCATTGGCAACAATCCCCAGGTGGGCCTCCCACACCCAGACCACACTGATTCAGTTCAGCTGGGTGTTACAGGTTGCTCACCAGCCACCACACGTGTCCTTCTTTAGATTGTATCTTCTTCAGTTCCTACACCAAACATACATGTCTATTTTCCTCTTAAAGGAGCCTGGCATCAGAATCAAATCAATAATCAAGTATATACTGTGTGCCCAGTACTGTACCTACCGATTTATATTATTCTATGTAATCTATCACAATATTTCTATGAATCGATATTTTTCCCATTACATAGGCAGGAAAACTGAGGCTCAAATAAGCTTGATGAAAGTTATTGGCTAGTAAGTGATAATACTGAGAGATGGATCCAGTTTTCCTGTGTTCAGAGGGAAGATTGAAGTAAACTATTTCTCCCATCCTGAATCCCTCTGGTTACTACAGGAACCAACAAAGATTTCTACTATATAGAAGTAGAAAGAAAGAAAGAAAGAAAGAAAGAAAGAAAGAAAGAAAGAAAGAAAGAGAGAGAGAGAGAGAGAAAGAAAGATTATTACACATCAAACCATGACTTCCCTCTCACCACTAAAATTGAGCGATAACCCTATCCCCTGGCCTTAGTTAGTATTATAATGAATGCTATTATTGGAGAACATAAGTACCACAAGGCAGCTGTCTTACTCCCCTAACTTCACATGCCCATCTTCTCAGAATCCACTGAACATGAAAAGAAAACAATGTTCATAACATCTTCATAACACATCATTCAATTTTCAGAGCATTTATAGATCACTGTGGCATCTTCCTCTGGAATTCTATAAAGAATAGGAATTGTTCAGATTTCCTGATTTGTATTTTGAGCATTGCCAATATAAGGTCATAAAAAAAGCACAAAGTGAACTTACATCATATCCCTTTACATGGAAATAAATGAAAATCTCTGTTCTTTCTGTCCTCTTCCTGAGAAATTTGACAGTATCTGCAGTGCTCATTTCATTACATATCTCACAAGTGTCTCATGATAGTACCATTTGGAGCACCTCTGGTTAATACAATACTGTTTCTCTTTTTTCCTCTCAAGGCTTCTGGCCACCTGAGCTACAGTGATGCTACCCTTATCATAACCTCTTCAGCTGCAACCTAATCTCTCCACCTTGCCAGTGACTGAGAATTAGGAAAGCTGCTGTCTAAAAGGTGAAAAATTATATACATGTCATATATGTCCATTGTATACAAGACCCAAATTTTCCACAGTTCTTACAAAAAGGTATAAATAAAAGAAAATAAAGTGCAAATCAAAAAAACCATCAATAGTGATTACTAACAAATATATAGGTTCAATGCCAGTAGCCAGGTCTTGAAACCACAGCATCCTCTACTCACTCTCATTTCTGGTGCCTGAAATTGCATCAGTAAGAATGCTATTTGTTTAAATTAAGAAAATAAAAATGAATGCTAATTGAAGTTTTACTACATGGCATATGTTCCTCTAATTCTCAAAATAACTGAGCAATGAGCCACTTTTAATTGCCATTTTATAGATGAGGAAGGCAAGGTTATCCCGCTTGATCAAGGTCACCTGGCTGGTAAACAGCTGAACCAGAATTTAAAGTGAGAATCTGAAAACTAGATTTTGGTCCTATGAACAGGCACTTTCCTTTGGGATGGGAACTACTGAGATGTTACCAATAATTCTGCAGTAAAATAAACAAATAAGTGTCCATTATTTTTTAAAAAGAAAATGAGATCCAACCTGGTGGTTTAGAAGAATTAAGAGTAAGAATAAAGACAGCTTCTCTGAACAACTTCTCAGAACCCTGAGTAGATGGTTTATAGGTCCATCTGCCCTATATATCTGTAATATAGGGATATCCCCATATCTGAATATAGGGATATAGATATCTGTAATATAACAGGTAATATAGACATCTACATGCATGATATAGGGTCAAAAGCAAACATGTAAAAGTTGATTGGGTTCCAACTGAAGAACTCTAGATGGAGTAAACTGGTGCCAGAAGTGGGGTTTAATTTTGACTCCAGTTTTTACACTAGAATTGATGCATTAAAAATAGGATAGGAAAGTTGTCTTTGACTCTCCCTCCCCCACTCCTTACATCCAATTAGTCACCATCTCATCAATTCTATTTCTCACCTGTTTCAAAGTGTTCTCCAAGTTAAAGTATCCTTCTACTGGGTTCAGACCTCGCTGACTCCAGGGTGGCTCTAAATTCCTCCCACACATCTTCCCAACTGTAGGTAGAATGGTTAAAGAATGAGTTCTACCCTTTCTCCTTTGTGTTTATGTATCCTTTAACTGACTATCATCTATAGGAAAAAATCCAAGTGTCTTGTCTTTGTATAAAAATTATATTGCAATTTCTCTCCACCTCAAGTTTTCAAACTCATTTTACACCAGGTTTTTCCTCCTAATATAGCTGTAGATTTACCAACCATAATAGGCTGTCCAACATAATAGGCTGTTTCAGGCCTGTCTTTCCAAATACCCACTGTTTTGATTGCCTGGAATGTTCCTAACCTCTAGGTTTTTAATTGCACTATTGCAGTGTTACCATTGTATAAAAATCTGTGCTTATTTAATGAATATATCTTGATGACTTTGGAGAAAACCACACACTCATGAAACCATCACCAGGGCCAATGATACACTACAGTGGCACAGCACCTGCTTGGCAAGGACAAGATCCTGAGTTTGATTCCTTGCACCAAAAAAAGAAACCATCACCATAATTTATGCCAAAAACATATTCATCACCTCCCAAATATTCCTCTCACACTATCTATTAAAGTATGTTCTGAAGTCAAAAACAAATTAACAAATGCTTTGCAAACCTGCACACCAATAAATTGGACAATTTAGGAGAGAAGGGAGTATTCTTAGATACATATGAATTATAAACACTGAAGCAAGAAGATTTAAAAACCCTGGGTAATTTAATAATAAGCATTGAAATTGAAACAGTTATTAAAACAAAACACCTACCAACTCTAAAAAGCCCAGGTCTGCCTGGATTCACGGCTGAATTCTACAAAAACTTCAGGGAAGATCTAACACCGATACTCCTGAAGCTCTTTAATGAAATTCAAAGGAAAGGAATACTCCCAAAGTCTATCTTGAAATGTAGCATTACTCTGATTAAAAACCAGACAAGGACCCAATAAAAAACAGAACTAAAGACCAATCTCTTTAATGAATATAGATGCAAAAATCCTCAATAACATGTTGGCAAATGGGATGCAACAAATCATCAAACAAAAACACACACCATGAAAAAATAGGCTTCTTCCCAGGGATGTAAGAATGGCTAGGCATATACAAATCAATAAATGTAATATATCACATAAACAGAAATAACAGATCATAAACAAAATTGCATGATTATCTCACTAGATGCATAAAAAGCCTTTGACAAAATCCAACGTTCTTTCATGATAAAAACACTAAAGATAATAGGCATAGAAAGACTTTATCTCAATCTCATAAAAGCCATTTATGACAAACTTACTGGCAATATCAAATTATATGGGGAAAAAACTGAAAACTTTTCCTCTAAAATCAGGAGCAACACAAAAATTCCACTATCCTCACTCCTGTTTAACATAGTATTTGAAACATTAGCAATGGGAATTTGGCAAGGCAAAGAAATAAAGGAATATGTATAGGGAAGAAAGAAGTCAAATTCTTCTTATTTGCAGATGACACAATCCTCTACATAGCAGACATTAAAAACTCCACAAAAGACTCCTAGAATAACAAAACTGAGCAATGTGGCAGAGCTCAGACAACACACAAAAATCAGTTGCATTCCTGCGCACCAATAATGAACCCACTGTGAAATGAATTATGAAAAAAATACCATTCATAGTAACAGCAAGGAAAATTAAATGCCTAGGAGTTAACCTAACTGAGGAAGTGAAAGACCTCTGCAATGAAAACTACAACACTCGGAAAAAAAGATTGAAGAGGACATTACAAAATGGAAAGATATCCACTGTTCGTGGACAGCCAGAACAAATATAGTCAAAATGGCCATACTTCCAAAACTGATATATAAATTTAATATAATCCCAATCAAAATACCAGCAGCATCCTTCCTAAAACTGGATCAAACAGTCCTAAGATTGACATGGAAAAAGAAGAGATCCAGAATAACAAAAGGAGTCCTGCATAAGAGCTGAGTTAAAAGCATCACAATCCCAGATTTGAAGTAATGTTACAAAGCTACAGTGATAAAAACAGCACAATACTGACACAGAAAACAGACATGAGAATGAATGGAACAGATAGAGATGCAGAAACACCACCAAACACATTCAACTATTTTGTCTTTGACAAAGTAGCTGAAAACATGTACTGAAGGAAAGACAGTCTCTATTAAATGGTGCTGGGAAAACTGTCTGTCCACATGCAGAAGACTGAATCTAGATGTATATCTGTCACTGTGTACTAAACTGAAATCAAAATAGATCAAAGAACTAAATGTTGAAACAGCAGCACTTAACCTGCTAAAAGATAAAATTCTTGAAGTTATAGGCATAGGCAAAAATTTTCTGAACAGAACCCCAGTTGCACAGGAAATAGTACCAAGAATCAAAAAATGAAATCATATGAAGTTTAAAATCTCTGCACAGCAAAAGAAACAATTAACAGGGTGGAAAAAAAAACACCCACAGAATGGGAAAATAAATTTGCTAGCTATTCTTCAGACAAAAGACTAACATCTAGAATATACAAAGAACTAAAAAAATACTCCCCAAAATAAAAGACCCAATCAAGAAAAGGACAAGTGAAATGAATAGACACTTCTCAGAAGCAGTACAATGGCTAATAAATACATGAAGTACTGTCCAGTGTCACTGATCATTAGCGAAATGCAAATTAAAACAACCCTGAGATTCTGTCTTGTTTGTTTGTTTGTTTGTTTGTTTGAGAGAAGGTCTGACTGTATAGTTCAAGCTGGTCTTGTCCTCACTATGTAACCCAGACTAGCCTTTACTTACAACAATCTTCCTGCTTCAGCCTCACAAGTGCTGGGATTACAGGCATGCTTTCACCATATGTGGCTCTCAGATTCTATCTTACCTCCAGAAAAAAGTAGTCATCATCAAGAAATCAAATAATAACAAATTTTGGTAAGGCCACAGGGGAAAGAAGAATGCTTTAAATTGTTGGTGGGACTGTAAATTAGTACAACCACAATGGAAATCTATATGGAGATTCAGAAAAAAACTAAAACTAGAATTTCCATTTCATCCAGCTGTTTCACTTCTACATATCTCCCCCAAAACTGTCAAAGACATCATACTACAGTGATACACGCATAACCATATTTATAGCAACATAATTCTTAGAAGCACACTATATGTCCTTCAGCAGATGAATGGATTAAAAAAATGTGGTATTTATACACAATGAAGTATTACCCTGTCATAAAGAAGGACAAACTTGAGTCATTTATAAGAACGCGGGTGTACCTTGAGACCATAATGGTAAGTGATATAAATGACATACAAGTTTAAATAGCTAATGGTTTCTCTTATTTGAGAAAACCAAAATATAAATAAAGGGCAAAATAAAAGACAGATATTAGGAAATACAAAGATAGATGCTTCTCAAATGAGAAAGGGAGCAAGAGATGGAGGAAGGGGGATGAAAAAGGAAAAGTAATTAAGACGTGTTATGTGCATGTTCCAACTCCACATGAGTAATGTAAACATTAGGTACCGTAAACACATACTAATAAAAATGGAAAAGTGCATGTGTGTGTGTATGTGTGTGTGTGTGTATGTGTGTGTTGAGAACATTCACCACATGATTTGTCTTCTTGGCATTTAGTATATAACACAGTGTTTTTAACTACAGGCACTACGCAGTACAACAGATCTGTAATACTTATTATTCACCTTGCATAACCAAGACTTTGCAAGCTTTGTCTAATGCCTCCCTATTACCCATCTGTTATAGCTTGTGTCTAAGTCATAGAGGGGTTGTTTTCAGAGGTGTTGGATGTAGAGTGCATCATGCTGGGATTGGTTCATGGTGCAATGCTAGGATCAAAGGCACTAGAATTAATGGTATAAGTGCGACCTGCCTTCAGTAGCCTGGATAAGATATAAGGGATAGAAAGAGCTGGGGTCATCCCTTGCTTGCTTGCTTGCTTGCTTGCTTGCTTGCTTGCTTTTGCTGTCATCTGCTGCCATGAGCTGTTTTCTCCTCTATAATGCCCCTCTGCCATGCCACTCTGCCTTTGAGCCAGCCAACAATGGACTGAAACCTCTACAAACTAGGAGCTAGATAAATTTTTCTGCCTTTGTCTTTGTCTGTTGGGTATTTTGTCTCAGCTAGAAAAGTAACTAAGACACCATTCCCCAACACCAGCCTCCAGTAACCACCACTCTGCTCCCTGCTTCCATGCATTCAAATATCTTAGATTCCTCATATGAGTGGGATGATGCAGCTTTTCTCCGACTGTCAGATTTATTTCTCATGGCATAATGCCATACAGGTTTGCTCATGTTGTAGCAAAAATTTTTTTTTCCTTCTTTTTTGAAGCCAGATAATATATGCCCCACTTCTGTTTATCTTTATGTTCCTTGATCATCATTTAGATTGTTTTACACCTTAGTTATTGTGAGTAATGTCACAAAGAACAAGGGAACACAGGTATCTTTTCCAGGTTTTTATTTAAACTCCTTTGGTTGTATTCTAGAGATGCGATTGTAGATGACATGCATGGTAGTTCTGTTCTTAAGTTTTTTGAGAAACCTCCATACTGTTTTGCAGAGTGACTACACCAATTACCACCAACAGAACCCAAGGGTTCCCTTTTCTCTGTATCTTGATCAACACTTCTTACCTTTTGGTTTTTTCCTTAAAATAATCACTCTAACAGTGATATAATAGTATCTCATTGTGGTTTCATAATTAGTGATACTAAACATGTTTTCATATGCTTGTTGACTATTTGCATGTCTTCTTTGCAAAACAAAATTTTCTTTATTTTTAACAGAGTGACTTGGGGTTTTGGTTCTTGTTCGGTTAGCTGGATGTTTTGGTTTGGCTTGTCTTTGTTTTTGAGTTGTAGAAATGTTTTTATATTCTAGATATTAATGCTTTAGCAGATATACATTTGCAAATATTTTCTCCCATTTCATGGAATGCTTTTTCATTGTGTTGATTGTTTCCCTTGCAGTACGGTCTTAATTTAATAAAGTCCCACTTACTTATTTTT